TATCTTAGGCCTTCAAGGATAGTCCAAATATGTAGAAATCAGCCCAACAACATAAGATAATTCTTCCAATTGGGCTTGACGTCTTGGATTTCTTCCAAAGGGGCTGAAATGATGAGATTGGCTAAAGCTTCTTGCATCTTCTTTCTTCTTGAGCGTGTCATAGGCCCATGCATTGCTGTAAGTGGATCATCTTCCTACATTTTGCCATCCAGCTTTATATTTCCTTCATGCTTATCTCCCTTCTTTTTGGTAGGGTCTCCATCAATTATGACCTAATGGGTTTAACGGGCCTATTTCTCTATAAGCAGTCTAATAGTGGTTTTAGTACCATTATAGCTCAATTAGACTCAAATAGGAGAAATAAGCCTACGATACCCATTATGGAGAATTGGGGCCATTAAACACATTAGGGTCTAAAAATACTAATTATAACTTATCATTTTGACCCAATTGGACTTTATAAGAATAAATAGGCTCATTATATCCACTAACACCAAATGGACCATTAAGGACATTAAGAGCCATTCTACATAAATTACTCTCATTAACGTCTGATTAGAGTAATTATGAACCATTTAGTACCATTATATTGCAATTAGACTCAACTAGGAGAAATAAACCCATCATACCCATTAAGGTCTGATCAGACTTAATATGACCCATTTAGCGTCATTTTGACCCAATTAGACTCCTTATGGAGAAATGAGCCTACTAAACTCATTAAGGTCTAATCGGATTAATAATGATCCACGTACTGTAATTTTGACCCAAATGACTCGATTAAAATAAATAGGCCCATTATATCCTCGTAGCCCAATTAGACTCCTTTTGGAAAGGAGAGTTGACTTTTTCTCCCCAGGGTTTCAAGCTTGAAGATGGGTAGGAAAGTGGAATCGTGAGTTTGGATCTGCCTGGCTTGTTTTGTTTGGAGCTGCCTGGTTGTTTTCATGCGTGGTGTTGTGCAAGATTGTTCTTCCTTTCTTGTTTTCACTTTCTGTTTCGCTTTGGTGTACCGTGGGTTTTCTAGGGTATTTTGTTTCATTCTGTTTGTGGGTCCTTTGGCTGTTCGATCTTCATTTGTGTGTTTCTGGTAGACTTTGCTGTCCTTCTTGCT